AGTAGAATCTCACCCGGCTTGTAGGAGATCTTGCTACAGTCAATGGCGGCTCCTTCGTAGGCCTTGGCGTTGACAGGCGCGTCAGGAACGTTCGAGAACTCACCGATGTCTGCAAGGGCGGAGTAGGGTGTATACATACTAATTATAATATTGTATTTGTGAGGCATTGTGGTGAAATCATTCGCTCGTCAAACTAATGAAATCGAAGGAAAGGGCATTTTTCGACCACTTTGTTGATTTCGTTTTCCTTTTTTGGCTCAACACCATTTATGTCCATATGAAAACATATTTCCATATGATTTTTCCTGAAAAACGTTGATTAAAAGGCTCAAAATATGTCATTGTTCAATTACTCTGAAGCCATTGAAGTTACCAAACTTTGGCAGCCATTTTCTCGCAAATTTTACCAGTAAAACAAGGTGACTCCACCTCTGTCAATTACAAGTCTTCTTCTATCCAAGATAGACGGATTTTTTTCCATTTAAAGCAAGTAGAATGAATAAGGTTTCAGATAATACCATGAATAACTCCACAAGCTCCAAAAATTGACGAGGGCCTGATTCTACTGTGTCGAGACACGTTTTTTAATTTCTAATTTTTTTCATTTTTTCATTATTTTTTTTGGGGGGGTGGGGCAGGGGTGGTGGCTGAAGGTGGGAGTGGGTGGGGGGTGGTGTTTTAGTTTTAGTAAGAGTTTTACTGCCCTTTCAACACTAAAAGGTCATACAAGTGCCGAAGATTAGATGTGTTACAAGAGAATAACAAATAAAAAAAAGGAGAGATCAGGATGATAGGACCTGGTGTTCGATAGGAAAGAAGGAGGTGGGGCGAGGTAAGGTGGGCGTGTCTCAGTGAGGAGGTGGAGGGGGCTGAAGATGGGAGCATTGGAAGGGGGCTGGTTGTGGGGGATAGGGCGGCGTGGGGTGGAGTTAAAACAAATAGTGAAATAAGTGTCACCAGAAAAGAACAAAACAGAGCAAAAAGAACTTTTACTTATGTCTAATCATAACAGTTTGATTTCTGTTTGCAGCAAATGCAGCGCTTACATAGAACTCTTCATAAGTTGCATCAACATTTCATGATATCATAGTATCACAACCACCAGCTATGCTAACCTGCAAGGAGGACACAGACACTTTAAGTTTTAATTAATAGAGGTTTTACGGCGCTCGCAACTGCATTAGGTCATAATATGAGCGCCAGAAGATTAGAGGTGTTACAAGAGAGTAACAAACATAAAAAATGAAGTAGGGGGAATAAGGACGATAGATGTTTGACAGGAAAGAAGAAGCAAACCACACCTGAGCACCCGCCAACCGCCCATGGACACAGACAGATAGTTTACAGGAAAAGATCAGGATAATGTAATAGTTTTTCTAGGAACATTCAAGCAGAGAATTGAGTGGCGAACCCCGATCAGGAGGTAGGGAAGAAGTCTGGCAATGCTACAAAACATGTAATTCCTGGTCACCACTGTACAGGGCCCTGAGGTTTTCAGGTGAAAGTCTACTATGGCTTTCTAACTGACATGTCCGTGGACACAAAAAGACAGCGATTTTTATTAAAATTATGCTCCCAATGCCAGACATGACCTATGAAAAAAAAATCACAGCTTACGAGATGAAATATCTCCGTAAAACCGAATAGATCTACACCACAAGAAGAGACGGGCAGAGAATAATAAATACAGATTTTTTTGTTAGTAAGAGTTTTACGGCGCTCGCAACTACATAATGTCATATTATGAGCGTGTGAAACACGTTGGTAGCATTCACAACAGTTCCCGCCCGGCTTGATTTCGTTTGATGGTCAGGTTAAAAGGTTAAAAGTATAACGGTAAAAATTTATGTCCTGAAAACAACAGCAATTTAAATCCAATAAATTATTTACAAATTACTGAGAAGCCAAAACGTACTTACTTTTACTTGTTCATCCTCTGTCGCCAATAAACGTCGAGGGGAGATGCGGTTTTCTATACCACGCCACCTCTGCAGTTCTTTCAGCTGGGATATTATAAAAACTCAGATTTCCTTGACTTCCTCAATCCATCTTTTGCGTGGTCTGCACCTTCCTTTATAGCCCGAGTACTTGGTTTCTACAGGCTCTCGAGGCTGGCTGGCTTAGTGACATTCGTAACAGGTGGCCAAACCATTTTATTCTCGGTTTTTCTATGAAATGCAGACAGGACTCAGTGCCATTAGTCGCTCTTACTTCTTCATTTTTCTGCTTGTCTCTGCTTGTGATGTTAAGGGTTTTGCGGAGATATTTTACCTTGCACGCGGGGATTTTGTTTCCATGGGTTTTAATGCCAATGGCCTTTATAGAATCGAGAATTCTGTTTGGATAAACGACTGAGAACAGATCTTTCAAATATCTACATTTATAATATTTCCTTCAACAAGCCCGTTTACCCGGATGCCCAAATGGCTAGTAAGCCATGCGAGCATGATATTGTCCTCTGTTCCATTAAAGTGTGAATTCTCAGTTGTAATCCAACTATTTTGGGGTGTATGGTTGTGAAATTGGTGAGATAAGTGGTGCAAGATTGGAATCAGACAGGATTAGAAAATATGTTTTGGGAGAATTATCTTCGGAGTCCAATACCGTGTTGTTAGCAGTAGCCTCCGTAGAAAAAAGGAGGTTTTCGTATGGAGCGTCACTCTGGTGTTGAACTCTGTTTGATTGCAAATGGTGAAATGGTATAGGTTTAACGTCCCTATCAACACCATTAGGTCATTTAAGAGGCTGGACTTCCGAGTTAAACGTCCATTTCAGATCGGAGCCAGCCAAATGGGAATTTTGTGTAAAGTGTCTTTCCTGTTTGATTGCATACTGTAATGAAAGTTGTGTTCGTCCAATGGTTAATGATGGTATATTGGCTTAGGCCTGGAAGCTCTCCTCTGGCTCCCCTTGGTTTTGTATGGGTCTAGCATTTTCCAAGACTTGATAGCTGTAGTTAATCATGGATCGGACGGACAAGGCAACTGTAAAGGTGGAGACGGCGTATGAGTCCCCGCTCCACTCCGGATGGGATATAATTTTTAGAGCATTTAACGCTTTCTGGCACCTCACAGGAAGGTCTTTTATGTGTTGTATGAAAGAAAGTTTTTTGTCGAATATTATTCCGAGGAAACGTGTCTACTCCTGGATGGGAATCCTTTCCCTGTATATGATAGTGTCAAATCCGGCTGCAACACATGCCTGTTTGATCAGCAGTAGTGTACTACAACCGTCTTTGACGGGAAAAACTTGAAATCATTGTTTGTCCACTTTTCAAGTTTGTACTGCTGCATTTGCAGCTATCTTCCAGCAGATCTTAGTTGAGTGTTTTTGGAACGGCTGCATAATATCTAAATCGTTGACGTATAACGTCTAGGTTATTTTGGAGGGTCTGAATTAATAGAGTTGGTTTGGGGTTTTTTATATTTAAAACAGGCGAGGAGAAAGGATGTTTCCCTCGGAATCTGAAAGGGAGGATGCGACACGAACCTGGAAGGAACAATTCTTAAGAAAATTGCAATGAAGGCAGGGCGGTGATCGCGTAGGCCGAGAACGTGCAGGTCTCTAAGAATTCCGCACTTTCAGGTTGTGTCGTAAGCTTTTGTTTGATAAAAAAAAAGATGGGGATTATGTCGCCTCCTTCGGCAAAGGTCTTGCGTAAAAAAGTCTCCAGGCGGACCAGGTGGCGGCCAGCGACGTCACGGTGGGTTAGACCTCAGCAAAAAAAAATCGGCACCTGGCTTGACAAATAATGATACTTCTTGCTTCGACCCTGCCTACCAGGGCCAACCCAGGCTGAGCGCAATATGTCGTCCCAGCAGACAGAGACAAACTCACTTCATTAGTGAAGCTCATTAGGATACAGCAGCTCAGCAATAGACGGACACACTCGACCCAGAAGACTTCCCAAAATGGGAATGGAACTCACATCTTCTTCGTTGAAAAGCGAAGAGCTCAAAACTCTACACCACAGACTGGATTTGAGGAAAAAAAGTAGTTACAAAATTTTTACACCCGCATTGACAACATGTATGTCATTTAGGCAGCGGGCTGTTTCCACACCACCTGTACCAGTAGAAATACGGAAATGTTCGACAAAAATTCACCCACACGAAATTCGAACTCGCGTCTCCTGTGTGCAAGATCGAAACCAAAAGTAGTTACAAACCATAGAGCTTACAGGATGGCATTTGTTTGTCACGAAAGAGTGACAGCAGAAGAATCAAATTAAAAGAAAAAAAAAAAAGAACCGCCGTCCTCCGATGATGCTCATCAAAGAGAAAAATGTCAACTGATAAAAAGCAGACAAACAAAGGGGGTGGAGATGGATAGATTGAATGAGAAAAGAGAAACAGGGGATGAGAGGACGTGGGAAGAGGAAGGGTTTTTTTCGTATCAGAGAGTCTGGAGTTTTGAGACTTTGTGATGCGCCTTCGAACGCGGCACGAGAGTGAATGATGCGTGAGTGTACCTGTCTGTCTGTGTGTACGTGTGTGTGTGTGTTTATCTGAGTGTGTGTGTGTGTGTGTGTGTGTGTGTGTGCGTGTGTGTGTGTGGGTGTGTGTGTCTGTGTGTCTGTGTGTCTGTATGTGTGTGTGCGTGTGTGCGTGTGTGTGTATTCGTGTGCGTGTGCGTGTATGTGCGCGTGTGCGTGAGCGTACGTGTACGTGTGTATAAAGAGATCCTCCTTCACGTTCAAAGTTGAGATCACATCCTACACGGCTTCTTTCCGGTAGATCTTACGCCCAAACGGCTTCGCTCCACCGAGATGATAATAATAAATATACCGTGTAATGATGTCATTCCACATCTGTGGACTTCATACAGCTTCACTCTCAGACAAATACAACAGAAACCCTTCCAGTTGTGTCTTGTCCGGTTGATTCTGTATACTGTATGGCCATTATCATTTTCTCTTTTGTTTGCAAAACGCACCGTTATAATGAGCAAAGGAATAAGAAAAGGAGTAGTATTAAGCTGATCGGTTCAGAATCAGAGAGAGAGAGGGGGGAAGAGGGTGTAGAAAAAAAGAGAAAGGTGAGAC